GCACTGGTAAGTAGCGGAGGAGGAGCGCAGGCCCAGAGCTTCCTGCTCTACTTGCAGTGCTGTGTTTACCCCTTGGGTGTATGGATCCTGGAATGGAAGAACATTCTGCTGTCCTGGATATGAAATCAGCTCTCTTGGAAGTGGGATTATGTAAATATGAGGGAGACGATGCATTTTTTAGTTTTAACTTTGCTTAGTGCTGAAGAGTTTAACATGAAGGTGGCCAGAAAACTTTTTGAATCTGAATGAAGCAGAATCTTTTCTCTTCTCTTTAGAAATCAGTTGGAATTATAAACCTTTTCTGCATCATACGACATCATACAGCAGAGATTTCAATGCATTCATCCTGTGAAAAGGCCCTTTGGGTGAAGGTTTTGATATTTTTCTTGGAGCAGCATGGGGAGGATTTGCTTTTGGACTAAAATGCTCTTCTCTTTTAGAATGAAGTGTTTCTCATTGAATTGTTTTTGACTTAGTCACCTTTACCCTAAGAATTAAAATCTAGAGTAGAAGGATGTTAAAAGGCAGGAGTAGATAGGGCAGCTTTTGGGGAGTAAGGAAGGAGTAAATATGTAAAGAAAATGAGGAAAACAAAGAAGTAGTGGTAGAAAAACAAAGTAATAGTGATGGGAAGTAATTAAATGCTTGTTAAGCTTTTTTTTTTTCTTATGAATGAAAAGATATTTGAATTCTTATCTGTTGATGTAAAGGGAACAAATCTTTTATAACCATAGGGCAAATTGCCTTGAAATCTTTTTTTTTTTTTTTTAAGTAAAGGTTGTTGTGAGTATCATATGAGATAATGTATTTGAAGGCACTTTGTAAGTTGTAAAGTGCTCGAAACGTATGTTGGAATTATTAATAAAAGTAAAGATAAATTTTTATGATTGGTCTCATGCCTTACATTTTTTCACTAAAGTCAAATGAGTGGTAGGGGGTAATATAAAATTGATGATCTTGTGAACCTCATGATTTTTCATAAAGAGTTCATAAACATTTATTCAGTGACTGTAATGTATCATGCACTTCTTGGAGCTGACAGGAGGTACTAAGATGGATAAGTCACAGTTCCTGACCTTAAGTGGCCTATGATTTACTACTGAGTAGACAGGCATGCAAATAGATGGTTTCAACTGCATATGATAAATGATCAGTTAGACCTTTTGTGCAGGTGGAGGGAGAGTTTAGAGAGAGGAGCTTTAGGGAAGCACATTTGAAGATGAGACTGAGCTGCATTTTGAAGGAAATCAGAGTTAACTAGGAGAAGAAGAAAGTGTGGAAAGCATGTCTTAAGCAGAGGAGTAAGGGCTTGTCAGGAGATAGAGTGGCAGGATTTGCTTACTGAGAATTTTGGCTCAAATGACTTACTGAATGATGGATATTGAGAGGATGAGAAGATATTGGGAAAAAAATGAGTTCAGTTGTGAACATGCTGCATTTGGGGTGCTTGTGGGATAGCCATGTGAATGGATCTAGGATGTCCATGCACATACAGGAGAAGTTCCAGGGAGAGGTCAGGGCTAGAAATGAGAATTGGGAAATTATCAGAATATAGATTAAAATAGATGAGCTCATTGAAAGAGGGCATAGATATAAGAAGAGCTGTTGTAAGAAGAGCTGTTGGCCAAGGCAGCATTTTAGAGACATCTGTGTTTGAGGGATACAGAGAATGAGAAGCAAAGGATCAACATTGAGAAGGGACAGAGAGGAGCGAAGCAGAGGTACCAGAAGACAGAGGTACCAGAATTTTCACCATGGTTAAGAGTAGCAGAGAGAGCCAGTACAAATGGACTGGAAAATAGTGATTGCATATGATATTAGAAAGAGTGGATTCAGTGGAGTGATGGAGGTTGTAATCCTTTGCCCGTCCCCTCTCCCCTTAACTCAGTCTTCCCTAAGCCCCTTAAACCTGGATCTATTGCTCTCTCTCTCTGTGTCACATACAGATACACTCACATATGCACATCCTCTCTCCACCCCTGACTTCCTTCCTCTCCTTTGTGTATTCAGTCCTTAGTAGTAGTCCTGAGTTAGTACTGGTGGCCCCATCCCAGTTGCTGAATGTATTCTGTGTACGTCAGCTCTAGGATAGACTTTAATGAAGCTGAGGCTGCTGTTGTTGTTATGTGCCATTGAGTCAGACCCGACTCATAGCGACCCCTCCCTGGGTTTCTAAGGTGGTATCACTACGGAATTAGATTGCCCAACCTTCCTTCTGAGGAGTGGCTGGTGGGTTTGAACCGCCAGCCCTCTGATTAGCAGTCAGATGCCTTAGGCACTATGCTACCAGAGCTAAGCTGGGGCTAGGAACATGATTTTGTTAGAATCTGGAGACAGAGAAGTCAAATATCAGGGCCAGTGTGGGTCACAGGAATAGAATATTAGAGTGTGAAACTGGTCCACTCCTGGGCATCAGAATGGGTAAATGACAGGAGATAATTGGAGTTTATGTCACATTCAGTATTGTGAATAATGAGCCAAGATCAAGAACTCATAGGACCACACTATTATCTAGATCTAAACCAAAATCAAACCCACTGCCATCGTGTTGGTTCCGATTCACAGCAACCCAGTAGGACAGAGTAGAACTGCCACTTAGGGTTTTCAAGGCCATAAATCTTTACAAAAACAGATAGCCACATCTTTGTCCTGTGGAGAGGGTGGTGGGTTCAAATTGCTGACCTTTCAGTTAGCAGCTGAGCCACTAGGGCTCCTTGCAAAGCATCAGACACCTCCTTTGAACTATATTAAACCACCAGCCTAAGGATGTTCACACATGTCCTGTCTATAGTCCTCCACACTACCAGCTGAGCTATTGAAGGGCGCACACTATTTTTCAAGGTCCAGAGCCTTGAAAATACCAGGAGCTTGCCTTCCGGATCAAGCTCCTCTTTGTCTTAATGATTCACGTCTGCGTCTGACACCAGCTTCACTTCTAGTCTCCTTGCTCTCCAGGAGCTTACTTGGCTCTATTGTGGGAGTCTTTATTGCTCCTAAATCACTTCTCTCCTGTTTCCTCTTTGACTGTCAGCTCATAAGACTAGGTTGGCTTTTCTTTTAAACTTTTTCCTCTGGTTGAGATGAACTTTTTAGTATTCAGTTCCCTGTGGACAACTAGATCCCTGCTCTGACCCCAGTGCAGTGGCTGGGCTCTCTGGGACCATTTTCACTGAGGGCAGTCCCTTTTTCTGGACTGAAATTCTCCTCTTTATAGATCTCCTGAACAGTGCTTTCCGCCAGCTTACCTGCTTACCCACTGCATACTTTGTGTGCTCTTTCTACCTATTGGGAGACCGGGGGATGCTGCTGAGTGTGTCACACACTGGCCACTGCCTCAGCTCTGCGGAGCCAGCCTCTACAGTCCAGTCAGTTTCCAGCCCCTGCACTGCCCCGTCATGGCATTGAACAGGGTTCCAAATCTGCCTTCTTTCTTGCATGCAGTATTGTGTCTTCTTGTTATGACAGGCTCCAGGAAGAAAACAAGCGAGTGTGTGACAGGAGAATATTTGTCTTTCCCCACTCTCTTTTCCCCTCCTTTGCTTCAGCCAGTCATCCATCTCTTCTAAGAATGACCTGGGGACTCCTCTGAGAATCTGAAACACTAAGGTGAACACGAGAAACCAGTTACTGAACTTCGAAAGAAAGATATTAATAGTCATTTTAAAAGACAAGCAGTCTTTTAATCAAATGTATTTTTTTTAAGACCTACGTTTAATATTTGAGTTCATGAATAAAAGCTGTGAAATTCTTTCTGTGAATGTTAGGTTCCTTGTAGAGTCTCACACAACCTTCCAAGCTATTATGGCACCACTCAGCACTATTCTATCATAGTACAAGCACTGAACTTTTAAAAGAAAGTTTGCCACGTAAGATCAAGGTGGTTTTTGCGATATATTTTCTCTTTTCTTCCGTGAGCAAGATTCAAGCAATTCTAGAAAAAAAAAATTACTCTCTCCAGGTGAGTTTTGCTTCCTCTTCAGAAAATTAACATTGTTAACTTTCCCTTTCAACCTTAACTGCTCAATATCTGAACTGCATTTAATATTTAGTTGCAGTTACTTTCTCATTTTAGGTGACCAGTAACATCTGCTTCTCTGTTCATTTTAACAGATTATTGTTCTCTTTTCATTGTCTGATTTCATAGCTTTTAGGTGCACCAGCTATAGGAAATCCTTTTCTGAAGCAGGTAGGGTGTAAAAAAACATGCATCTATATGAAATCAAGGTAGCTTTGGTCACAAAATGAAGATATCAAATGTGATAGGGTATGAGTTTCTGTGTATAAAATCTGACAAATAGGGAAGAATCAGAATAAGGTGATTTTGAACAGGAAGAGATGTTATAAACCCTAGTGGAAGGATTATCTTAATTACAAACCGACTACCTAATGAAATATTTACAAGCACTTAGTGCTTTTAAGCAAATATCTTATTCTGTGTCCCAAGGGAAAGTAATTAATCTGGATGTGGAGTCTTCACTTGTTTTCCTTTTCCTTCAACCTACAAAAACTCTGGGGATGGGGTATATGGTTGTTTTTATGGCAGATAATCATTTTATAGACTTACAATAAGTGATTTCAGTGCATTGCTTAAGGAACCAATTAAAATAACCACAGTTCTTATAAAGCCTATTGAAATTATCTGCTGCCTGATTTACAGTGATTAAAATGGGACTTCACATCTTAGTAACCTGCAAATTGATGAAATCCTTCAAAGGAGTAGTAACCAATGAGAAAGTTCATTGTGTTTGTTGCTATTTAACTGTAGGAGGTGTATTGACATTCTTGTAATATAATTAAAAATTAGCTTTTCACCCTTTGTTGTCTATACAAGAAACTTCTAGCTGTTGGAACGCTCAATTTGTTCATTTGCATAACATTTTGAAAGTTAATTCAGATTACTTATATTGGAATTAAAATTAATCCAGTTTGGTGGAATAATCTAATTTTAGAACTTTAAAATCTAATGAAGGTCTTGTATGTTCTGTGTGCTTTGGCTACAGCCCTACCACTTATGTTTTGGATGAAGATGAGCCTCGATTCCTTGAAGAAGTTGATTACAGTGCAGAAAGTAATGATGAGTTAGATATTGAATTGGCTGAAAATGCAGGAGATTATGAACCTTCTGCTCCAGAAGAAGTACTTTCTGACTCTGAATTATCAAGAACATAACTACCTTGAGTCCTCTGCCATCTTTTATTAACTGCAAAGAAGAAATGAAATCTTGGTTATTATTACACAGGAAATATGAGAGAAAGCAGTTTCTAGAGAACTAATTCAGAAAGACAAAAAGTAACTTGGGCCAGTTTGGTTTCAAGAAAATAAATGTTATTAATTCATGATGAAATTGGCACTTGTTTTATTTTAGGTATTCAATGCACTTGTATAGCATTGGATTATCAAATAGTGAATTTACTTTTAAGAAAAACCTCAGTATCATTGCATGGATTTTTATCTCCTTATGGTTATATCCTGCACCAAGTGGATAATTTTGAAATGTCGAAGTATAAATTCTAAATTCTAGACGATTGTGGTTCTGAGTTGTGGAAAACTAGTATATATGTCCATGGATTTCTGTAGATGTGTTTGTGTGGGGTGGGTAGGTATTGAAGGTCAGCGTGTTCTTCAGAATCATGTTAATTGTTGGGTTGTGACTGAAATAATCCAGAGTTTGCCTTGAAGCCGTTACATTCTACGTTTACCAAATTAAACAAGTATAAAAACAGTATCTAATGTTGCATTCATTTTGTCATCCTTTTTAGCAAGCTCAGATCATTTGGTTCTCAGAAGCTTTGTGAGAATATTATAAAAATCCAACACCTGAACACATTGATCAAAATTTGTAAAAGATGCTTGATTTACTTAGTCTTCCTTTTTTCTTTTTGTGGTGTAAGTACATCTGTACCTATTGTGAAAGATGTGCAGTATTTGGAGACAGTCTTTCCTTTGAAATTGTCTCTCATGGATGCACCTGAAGTTCATCACCATCATCAAACAGTTTGTTAAGTTTTAAAAATGAAGTGAGAATACCATGTGATGTTCAGTGTGTGTTTGTGTATTGAGCTTCTTTAACATCTCACGAGCTGTGCTGTGTTACTAGGTTTATTGACGTGAATTCATTTAGGGCATGCTGATGTTGTTATCAGAATCCTGTTTGACTGGAATGAATTTAAGCCATTTCATGTAGTGCCATCTTTCTGACTTTTAAGCTGTCCTGCTGTGAGAATGACTTTTTCTTCAAATAAAATAAGCCAGAGAACTTTTGATAAGTTCTTTTAAGAACTAAGCTTCTGCTGTAACAAAAACAAAGCCAGAAAGATACCTCATTAACTGATTAGGAAAATTGAAACAGAGATTGCAAAGTTGAACCAGCACTCTTAGTGGGTGGTGACCTGAGAAAGGAAAAATCTGAATACCTTAGCTGGGAAAAGTATTATTTCATAATTTATTAATTATTTATGGTTACAAATTATTGTTCATATGTTTACATGAAAATAATTACTTATTTTATTATAATTTAAAATAATTATTTATAATTATTTTCAGAGAGTAGATTTTGGAGCCATTATGTCCTCCACATATAAACTTTTCTTGATTCTTATATTAGAAATTACAAACCAAGGCAGTCATGTATGAAAAGCAACTATAGTTACTATGATGTGCATAATAACTCAAAAACTCTGGTTATTATGTTAGCATTGTAAAAAGTTCCTTGCCGTGTACTGTTAAAATACTTTACATTGATGATGTACATCTTTTTATTATATGTTACAAGCCTGAATAATAGTCACAAGATTGAAAAGAAAGTATTTATGCTTAGAAAATGATTTTTTTCACAAATAAATATGGAAAAGTAAAAATTAATTTTAAAATCCTAACTTTCCTAGTTAGGGGTATAACTAGATTTCATTGGCTGTTCTTATGTAAAATTTCCCCAGTTTTTACCTCCATGACCTCATTTTTTCGAGATTTCCAAAGAATGGTTAAAACGCCACCAGTGCCCATTATACCAAGAATAAGAATTCATGTATTTTCTTATGCAGCAGGGATAAGGTCTCATAAACTGAGTCAAACGATAGCTCTTAGATTTATATAGTTTACCTCATGTTTAGAAGTTTGATTTTCTTTAAACAGAGTTTTGGTTTAATCTAGTGGTTTTCAAATTTTAGTGTACCCCAGAATTACGTGGAAGGCTTCTAAACATACACATTACTGCTCAGCCTCCCACCCTAGAGTTTCTGATTATGTAGATCTTGGGCCGTGGTTGTTTTTTATTGGTTGCGGAGTCAGCAACTTCATGTGCAGAGTAGAACAGCTGCTCCATGATGAGGAGGAGATGTCCCAAACTTTGCATTTCTAATTTGTTCCCAGGTGATGATGCTGCTGGTCCAGGAACCATACTTTGAGAACCACTGGTATAATCTGATGTGCTCTTTCTAGCCACGTCATCATAGTTTCCTGAGAGTCATAGAACCAATGATGTGAAAATTAGCAAGGGATAATTTAGATCAAATTAAATCAAGGAATGATCCACAGAGGTCAAATAGGTCACTCAGGCAGAGCCAGGAGTTTATTTAGCCCAGGACTCCTGACAACTAGCCTCGTGTTCTTCCCATAAAAGAAGGGTGCTATCCTTTTTCTTTCCCCAAAAAGTAAAGATTGTGAAAAGCTTAGGAGACTTTCTTGAAGCAGCAAGGTTTATGCAGGCAAAGCAGATGTAAAAGCCTGTAGTTCACATTGGCTTTTCCTTCATGCAGTCCCAGTTCTGTTTGAACACAGTATTATGTCCTGTATTAGGTCTCTTTGCTTAATCAGTCTCTGCCACCTTTGCCAGTTTTTGTGTGGAATTTAGAAACATGGATATTTGTCTGGGTACTGATTACAAATAAGTAATTCAACTTCAGACGGCTCACCAACAGCCATAAGTATGATATTTCTAAATTTCATCTATCCAAATTAAGATGTCTATATTATTATAAGCACTGAAATGGATTACACAAAAAATGTACTTATGGAATTTTCTTGTGCATGGTCCACAAATAAATGACAGTAATGAATCTAAATTATTCTTACAAATCCTGTTTGTTTGTTTATATATGTATTTTAATTATTACAAAATATTGGTTGGAAATGGGTGAATGTTTTACTTAATTTGCTGAAAGTTTAGTTCTAAGTAGCCCTGGTGGTGCAGTGGTTAAAGCACTTGGCTGTCAGCCCAAAGGTTGGCAGTTTGAACCCATCAGCCACTCCATGGGAGAAAGATGTGGCAGTCTGCTTCTATAAAGATTACAGCAGTGGAAACCCTGTGGGGCAGTTTTACTCTGTCACTTTGAGTCGGAATCAACTTGATGGCAGTGAGTTTGATTTGGTTCTTTCTATTTGGAAAACCCACTGGTGCATATTTTAATTGGAAGGTTATTCTACTTTGCACAATAATATGTTTCTATTAATATGAAGTAAATAGAGACATAAAAAATGACAACTTAGAAGAAAGACTCATTTTCTTTATGAGAATCAGTATTTTGTAAGTTTAGTCCTTAAGATCTCACATTTCAGTTGTTTCTGCTATTAGTGACATTGTTATTACAGTAAAACCTGCAAAAGTCAGAACCTGTGTAAGGTGGAAACCCATCAAAGAGAATTCAAATATGTTCCACTAGAGAGCAAGAAGAAAAGTGGTGACTCCATCCTGTCAAAGGCAGAAAACTTGCAAGACTGGGAAAAACAAGGCTGTCATGGTTTCGCCATATTCACACAGTCTTGCTACCTACACTGGGCTGAAAATGGGCGATTGAAGTCTCCTTTTAGTGCCCTCCTGTGTCTGAGCCCTGAACAGTAATTGAGGTTTCTCTCTCCTTCCCTCCCCCGACCACCTTACAAGTTGTCTTTATTATTTCAGATCTTTTTGACCTCCTGGCCCCCTCTTATCAAGCTTTCTTCAGAGCTTGGCTAAGGGTTGGGGACATTGAGTAGCTAAACATTTTTCCCTTTCAATTTAAAGTTGCTGAGTATGCGGTGCCTAAATCCAAGTGAATGGTTGTCTTATATCTCAGGTGTCCTGCAGGCTAGTCAGGGTGCTCCTTTGTGTATGAGATGGGAGTAACCTGTGGTTGAGTCCTGAAGTGATCCCTGCGTGTGTGCACTTGTGCACATTTGTCCTCACAAACCCTTGTGAGGTGCAGGTGGGTGTGGTTCCCTCTGCTTGTCAACCCAGACAGTTTATAAAGGGCTGAAGAATCTACACCTTTGAAAATAGATGGGCTTCTCTATAGATTTTTCTTTAGTTGAAGTTGTAATTAAGTAAAAGATTTTAAGACTGGAAGCTTACTTTCATGCTCACGTGCAAAATAATAAATTATGTAATGTATTTATACTGTCATGGTTTTTTTCTTATACTCCCCCATTCTCACCTCATGTAATATATATGATTTTTTTCTTCTGTTTTACTCTGTTAATCTTAGAAATGTTTGACATTTCATTTTTTTTCCCCTTTCTTTTAGAATATGGGGCCCTTAGAATAGTAAATGACTTAGGTAATTTCATGTAGAAAGATAAAGTTCAAAATATGAAATAATTCTTTCTCAAGAATAATTATTTGTGTAGAGATAGAAGTATCCAGTGCACATCTGCCTTTGCTAACCTTTATTGCCCCTTTTGGCAGCTATACAAAATTAAAAATTATCAACAACTAAGTCACTGCTATTATTATAGGTGCTGAAATGCAGATCTCTTACAGGGTGGAGTGCACACTTGTGTGGTTGCCTCCCCAAATCCACTCTCCCCTTTGCCATAACCAGTGTTCATGATGAACACCTTCTGAGTCACCAGCTTCCCATTGCAGCATCAGAGTGGAGCATTGACCTGGGGCAGACCAGCCAGCAATTCCATCTGCAGAACACAGAGAGTGGGTTGGAGTGGGCACATGACCTAAGCCAATCCACCTAAAACGCATATCAGGACTTTGGATTGTGAAACTAGAACAAAGACCCTTCTTGGAAAGAGGGCCACCATGCAACCCTGAGCAGAGAGCATGCTTGAGACAAAACCAGTGTTGAAGAAACAGACTCGAGATTTGAGAGATGCTGGCTGCTTTCTTCGTTTGAGCACCATACCAAGCTGTACATAAAACCTCAAATTGTGTCAACTATGAAAAACCAAAACCACTGCTGCTG